TATCTTCCCCTCTAAATCCGCCCCTGTGTCAGTGTATAGCAATGAAGTCAAAATGCTAGAATGACACCCCGGTTTAGACAAGTATAATCGTTCCTAGCGCTCTCAGAAATACCCTGAGACGAGTATACTCGACGTTTGTTGGTTTTTCTACTACTACTAAAAAATAAAAACCTCACTTATGGCATTTTAACTTAGCCTTAATTTATTCGTATTTTGTTCTTAATTTTTCCGCAATTTCGACAGCCTCATTCTTCTTATAAAATGTGCTCTTATAAAAAAAATGTAAGTGATATTGCTATTAAAACGTACAACGTTACTTGTATCATGATGATCCTTTTATACAGTATACCCCGTCACGGGTTCAATGGATAGATAGCGTATACATACAGTATAATTATGCTTATACCTCTGTATATGTTTTCTGTCGATGCCAAGAATAAAAATGTTGATTAATTTGTTTCAAATGTTTCTAGTTGTTTGAATCAGCTCATTTACAGTCGCTTTTAATCCACTCTTTATATCAAAATTTGCTATTATTCATTTAAAAGCAGAATTGATTTTGAATTTTTATTCGTAATGTTTACGAATTTATACAGTAGTATTTTTCATTTGGGAAACAATTTGCTTTTTTCTCCATGTCCTCCACTGGTAATTTTTTGATAGGCCCTATCGCTGTGTTCACGGACATATAAAGATTAACATGATAAAATGCCTTCAAATTAGTCTACTAGGACGTAAGAAAGCAAATTTTTCCGGGCCCTTCGGCCCCTGGACCCCCACCGGGGGCTCTGGGCGGCCCCCTGGCTCCGGCCTGGTTGCTCGCTACGCTCGCAAAACGCACCCCCCCCCCATTCAAAAAGCTGGATACGGGCCTGTGTTGTAGGATAGGCCTATCGAGATCATGTGGGATGTTGGTTAAATAAACAAAGCCATAATCAACACAAATTTAGCCCTCCAGCCCCCCCCCCCCCCCCCCCCCCCCACTGCCAGGTACCCATTTGGACAGAGAGACAAACCATGGAGATATTATATTTGAAGTGTCTTGCCTATGAAACAAGCGGGAGATTCGAACCCCGACCACAAGATTGAGAGCAACAGCAGCCCTCCACATGAAATGTTGATCAAAGCAAATAGTTTATAAACAGATTATAATGTTTTGGTAATAAATCCTTAGAATATTAATAATAATATTCATTTCGTAATTAAATACATGTACAGCCATGCGGCAAGCTCGGGCCAGCTGTCATTCGGGTTGCTCATTCACGCGTTATGTTATCTCTTTGAAAATTTAATGTAAAAATAACACCAGTGACCGACCACGGTAATCAATAATTATTGTGTGAAAGTAGGTCCTAATCGTTAGGCCCGGTATAAACGTCTGGATGCTTTTTTCTCATGTGACGGTAACAATCAACTATATCATTATTAGCGTCTATTATTTACGATTATAGTATAATTCGAGCATCGAAATTCCACTTTGATCTTGAATGAAATGGTTTGGTTGTTAAGGGCTTGTGTTTTTATACCGGTACCAGCTCACTCTGATCAATACCAAAAAGATTTCGTTCTGCCAACTAAAAAAAAATAACTCTGCTTCCAAGCTTTATACAATATCAGGGGTGGCGCCAGGATTTTCCCGATGGGGGGTGGGGGCCGAGGTCCCTGACCGAGCCCGACGAGGGGTCAGATTTCCCCGACGAAAGCAAAGTGGGCGTGGTCGACCTTTGATTAAAAGGTTCCGAAAATGTTGACAATTTAGGGGTTTCAAAAGCTTATTTAATCGATTTTAGAGTGTACTAATATGTAGACAATACATATATTTTTTTTGTCCCCGACGAATTGTGCTTTTTCTCCCCGACGGGGGGTGAGGAAGCCATCCCCGACAGGAGACTTGACCCCCCCCCCAGCCCCCCTGGCGCCACCCCTGTATATATAGGCCTATATTAATTATATTTTATATATCATTTTAATGCAGCAGCATCCTACAGTCGGAGATAAACGTAAACGTAAATAGCCTTGCCAAGGAAACTAACGAAACACACGCGGAGAGGATATCTTTTTTTTTCTCACTACTATTGTAATTCATTTCAACACCCCCTCCTCACGTATTTTGGTTAATAAAATGGTTACCACAGGTCAAAATACAGACTAAAGTAGCCTATCATCATATTTATTTATCTATTTAATGTGAGTTGTTTTGTAATATAGCAGCACCCATTACATTGATATAACAATAAAAACTTAAAATAAAGGTAACATATTACACAAAAATTTATTAAATAGATAAATAAATACGTTATAATTATTAATTAAATAGAGCCGCTAACTTGTGCGCATGCGCGTGCACTTATTCCCAAATTTCTATCTATTGAAGTTCGAACCTGCTATTCAGCGCTCTGGCAAAGCTCAAACTTGTATGTTTCGCAATGGTGTGGATTGCTGATTCTTCTGCGTGAACTTTCATTTTTTCGCTGCATTTTTTACGATTAAAATCGAGTGAAATTAATTACAAATGCAACCGTGATCACATTTTACAGCATTTAATAGTAAGTAAGTTAAATTTAGTCTAATATTTATTACATTTTCATAGCAGCGTAATCTCAGAGTGAGAAGTTGAATGGATTATGATTCAGGCCTGAGCAATCGATGAATTGGACTTCGACCCACTTCAAAATATTCAATTCTGCACGTACCAAGCATGGGCCTGATTTATTGCAATATACCGTATAGTGTAGCCTATTGGTATAGCTTCATATTTTGTAGTTTAGAACGCAGAGTTCAAACGTAAACAATCATTTACTGAATTTTCCCATTTCTCATAGAGACTGACATTAGCATACAAGATGTTTTATTAAACATTTTTTTTTCCCTCTTTTCATGCCTTAGGCCTAGAGTATATCTTAATTAATAAATTAATCAATTAATATTGCGTGTTTAAACAGTTACTCCTAAAATAAAATGTGTGTATGGTCTGTTATACTACACAGGGGTGGCGCCAGGATTTGCCTGACGGGGGGGGGGGGGGGGCGAGGCCCTGACGAGGTGGGGGGGGGGAGGTCCCCAACAATGAGGCCGATGCCTCCAACGAGTAGTCAGATTTCCCCGACAAAAGCAAAGTGGTTTTAGTCAAACTTCGATTAAATGTTTTCGAAAGTTGTCCAGAGGGCAAAGCCCCTGAAAATTTTGACAATTTAGGAGTTTCAAATGCTTATTTATCGATTTTAGAGTCTATTAATATTTAGAAAATACATATAATTTTTTTCTCCCAGACGAATTGTGCTTTTCTCCCCGACTGGGGGAGGGTGGTAAGGCCCCGGCCCCCGCCACTCCTGGTTATACATCATAGATATTTTATCATTCTGTCTTGTTTTTTGATGTTTAACATTCGTCTTCTTCAAGCAGATCCAAATATTTAAAAAAATGTAAAATGAATCTTTTATAGGCTTTTTCTCTACCTCATTATCCCCAATGTGTTATTTATTCCGAGGTGTTTGAAAATCCAAATCCAAAAACAGAAAATTAATTTGTAGAAAAAAATAGTTAGAAAAAATTGTTAAGCATGAATTCAATTTCTTCTCATCCATAATAAATGAATTCAAGTTGGTTGAAATCGCACAGTTTATAACCATTAGAATATTGATATATCAATATAGGATGATGGAAATTGTTAATGTTATGTCATTGATATGGTCAAAACTCTCTTTACTTATGAAAAATCTCATTTCAAATTCCAAAACATTAAATTGCTATCTCGTTTACACTGAGTACTTTGGATGAAAATGAATTGTGCATGGCATTAAGCAAATAATAACAAATTCTTTGTTTCCCATTTTTTCAAAAGTTAATAATTGGGTCCACTAATGAAGTCTGTAAAATTGGTATCGTTTTAGAGAAATAATATATAAAATAAAATGAATCTTATAGCATGCGTAAAATCACTTTGAATATGAAAATTAGGCCTCCACATTGACTTTTCCTTTCCAACTTTAAAAATGGCTTCAAAACACCTTTATGGGTTTGTATAACATGAAATGTTTGCAGACGTCATTGGGTTGACATAATTTACCCTGATTTGATTCAGCAAGTTTCTATATTTTTAGATTTAATCTACATGTTATTCAATTAAACAGCAAATTGTAGCTGAAATTTATATTTTTTTATAGACAGATAAAAATGAAACAGTTTATTTTAAAATAAATTTCATAGCAGAAATGTCGAATTTAGATCATATTTTCACGGCCGTAAGTGACATTTTTGTTGATTTTGAGATAATATTTGGGAGTACATGTCTAAATGACCTTAGAAAATTTCAGGTCTCAATAATGAGTCGTTTCTGAGGTAGCACTTAAAATCTAGTGATTTTCCATGTCAAAACAACGTAACTACAAGATTACGCACAAAATAGCGTATCTGCGCTGAAGATACGTTGTTTTGCCAAAGAATGGTATTCAAAAATTGTCTTCAGCCGTTGAAGTCTGGTAAGGCAAAATCAAATGGTTATTGGTATTTTTATATCAATAATCTTAACAACATGTATGAACAAGCTAGGTGATGCTTATGATTGCCCCAAATGTGATAAATTCCAAAAATATGTCTTTCAACAGTACCAAGTCTGACATGTTTCCGAGGCAAAACAACGTATCTGTAATTATCGCTAATAACTTTGCAATAAACAAACGGTTGTAATTAAAATTTTACATATAATCACAATGTCTATAGATATATAATCCTGCAAAATTTCAAAAGGCTACGACAATTTATTGGAAAGTTACAAACATGCAAACTTTAACTCTATTTTTCTCCAAAAGTGAAAATTTCAAGTTACATAGTTTTGCCACGGAATGGCCGTTCAGTAGTATTAACCGCAGATTTTATTATTTCAAATTTGAAATTTTTTAAAAGTAGTATTTAGTTCCTAATTTTTTCAGTAGGTAGGTTTTTACTTTTCCATGTTTGTTTTCCCTTTCTTTTATCATATCAGTAGTTTAAGAACACGGCCTCTTGGACCAACCTTTGTAAAAAGATTGAAATGAATATCCGTGGATAAATAAAGTTATTATTATTACTACACTCTCTGTCAAACTTACGGTTATAATCCCTGGTGAATGTTTTTGGAAGCGGTAACTACAAGGTACAAGGTAGTACCTTCAAATGAATAGAACAATTTTACTAACATAAAAAAATTACAAAACCATTAAAATAATTTAATCTACAGGATATTGAAAACTAATAAATAAAGGCTGTTGAGATATTTATATCTTTAAATTATACTTAGGCATAATATTGAGATTAAAAAAATTAATAACATTTATTTACATATTTAAATACAATTTACATAAAAAATTGAATTTGACTATCCTTTTTTAAGATGGGAGACTACCAAAAAAAGGAGGAAATCTAAAAAATGAGGCTGTCCCAGAAGAAGGAGTGGCTTTAAAAAAGTGGGGAGGGGGTGAGCAGCCTATAAAATAGTAGCCACCCAAAAAGGAGGTGTCCCATAAAAAGGGAGGTGGCCAAAAAATGGATGATTTAATAGATCAAAATGAGAAACATGTTTTTTTTTTTTATTTGGCTTAGTATTTCACAAGCTGTTGCAGTACTGTCCCCGCTTTATACTATAGCGCACACTTTACAATGAGTACCTACACATATATTTGTTTGTGGTGTTAGAATATTGACATCATTTATATGAATAACACATGTGATGTAATGCCCAGGCTTTGTTTAGATTGATACAATAATTTAGTTTGTGTAAGCTGAATATACATATATTATTTAGTTAATTTTTTCTACTTTAGGAAAAAATGTTTTTGTTATTATGCTGTTTTATACATTGTGCAAGTGAGTAGGCTATTCATTTTCACATATCATCATCTTCCGTTACTGTGCATAACCTCGGTTGAGTATACTCGCACAATACAGCACTCATATATGTCGCAGTCAAAAGGCAAAGAAAAGGAAATAAATAATTAAGTAAATAACTAAATATATATATATATATATATAACTATACTTCTCACTTTATACTATCTGGCTTTTTCAACCCTCACTCACTCGCCACT